CCGGGCATGCGGCGGAGCCTCGGCCCGGCCCCGCGCTCCCGGTGTCCCCGTGTCCCCGTAGCGGGTCCCGCCGTGCCGGCCCCCGCTCCCGGGTCACCGCGAACCTTCTGCGCGGCCGTGTCCTGCTCCTGCTCACCGGGGACATTCGGTGGCCCCCGGCGCATCCTGGTGTCCGGCGTAGTTCCTCTGCGGGGGCCGGGCGACACGCATCTCCTTGTTAAATCCTGGAATAATTTGGGTTGGACGTGATCTTAAAGCGCCTCGTTCCAACCTCCTGCCATGCAGCGACACATTCCACTAGAGCAGGTTGCTCCAAGTCCCTGGCTTTGAACACTTCCAGGGACGGGGCAGCCACAGCTTCTTCGGGCAATCTGCGCAGTGCCTCATCACCCTCCGCTCCAGGAGATTCCTGTCAGCCCGTATCTCGGGCTTGTCCAAGTCCCTCTGGGCGGCAGCAGGACCCTCTGGACTGTCAGCCGCTGCTCCTAGTTTGTGCCCAGGGCGGCCCGGGCCCCGTCACGCAGGTGGTTAATGCGGACCATGGCACAGGGCTGATCCCGGGGCTGATCCCGGGGCTGATCCCGGGGCCGATCCCGGGGCCGATCCCGGGGCTGATCCCGGGGTTGATCCCGGTGTCCCGGCAGGATCGCTCGCCTGGGATCTGGGATGGGGCGCGGCTGCCAGAGAGAGTAGGGCGGCAGGTCAGGATGGCCGAGCGGTCTAAGGCGCTGCGTTCAGGTCGCAGTCTCCCCTGGAGGCGTGGGTTCGAATCCCACTTCTGACAGCTCCTTTTTGCGCCGCCCGGCTGCCGCTTTTAGCTGGGGAAGGCGGGCGGGAATAAAAAGCCGACAGCGGAGCAAAGGCGCGCGACTAAAAGTAATTAACTAATTAACTACAGCGAGCGTAGGGCAAAAAGTGCTGTCAGAAGTGGGATTCGAACCCACGCCTCCAGGGGAGACTGCGACCTGAACGCAGCGCCTTAGACCGCTCGGCCATCCTGACACCGCTGGGCGCCCCTCGCGGCCCGTGCTACACTTGAGGGTATTGTGTGAACGTTCCGTGAGCTCGGTCACCCCCGGCTCCGAGCACCTCCCCGGACAGCTTCTTCCAGAGCCCGACCACCCTCTGAGTGAAGAACCTTCTCCTAACATCCAGCCTAAACCTCCGCTGGCACAGCTTCAGCTGTTGTCTCGGGTCCTGTCACCAGTCACAGACAGCAGCGATCAGCGCTGCCCCTCTGCTGCCCCTCCCGAGGAAGCTGCAGCCCACAATGAGCTCTGCCCTCAGTCTCCTCCTCTCCACGTTGAACAAGACAAATGTCCTGAGCCGCTCCTCACGTGGCTTCCCCTCTAGACCCTTCACCAACCTCATGGCCTCCTTTGGATGCTCTGTTACAGCTTTAGGTACGTCTTGTCCTATGGTGCCCAAATCTGCTCCCAGAACTCGAGGTGGGGCTGCATCAGCACAGAGCGGAGTGGGACCACCACCTCCCCATCCTGCAGCTGCATTCAACATTCCCAGTTCAACCCAAAAATGTGATGGTTGAGGCATAGCTGATTTTTTTGCTGCATATGTTTGCTTGAGACTAATAGCTCTAATCCAACCTGAAACCAGGAACTTTGGCAGGTGGAATTATAAATTGTAGGAGTACATTCTAGCTCTTCCCTGCACTATGCTGTTTCATGGGAGGCCATGCCTTCTCCTTCCTCCACATTAGACAGGAGAGTCATGCTGGGGTAAGCCCTGTGGGAAGCCTGGCTCCCTGCTCTAACCCCTCCTGGTTACACAGAGAGCGCCCTGTGATTGATTGCTCATCAAAAAGGCACCAACCTCTGCACAGGGAGGTGTGTGGTACACTGAACTAACCTCAAACTCCTCTTCCTCACCTTACATGAATGTAAAGATATTCCCGCTGCTCCAGCTGTGGAGCTCACAATGAATAAAAAGATGTTACAAAAGAGAAGACAAAGCTACAGCCACAAACCTCTCAGAAATAGATATACAAACCACAAGGAGACAGGAAATGTAAGAAAACAAAATATACTTTATTAAAATTAAGCATGTTAGCACCTCAGTGTAACCTGGAGAAGTCAAACAGTCCAGCAGGTAACCAGTCCAGCAAGGCTGAATGGCTGAACATCCTGAAGTGCATCCCAATGGTAGAAAAAGTACCATGACTGTCATGACATGCACGTTCTCAACAAGCTCAGATGCACAACCAGCAAGGAGGGATGTTGTGCTGTCTACTGTCTTGATGGGAGCATCTAGAGCTGCTGGACCAATCACATATGTTAAATCCCATGGTGGAGCACATATCTGCTTGTCCTACCAAAAAAAACCCCAAAAACAAACCCAAAACAACAAGCCAAACCAACCAAATGAAAAAATTCCCGCTAACTCGACTCGCAGAAAAATCAGTATAGCACAGAGCTGGAGAGCTACATATCAGATTGGAGAATAAATTAAACTGAAGTAACGGGCAGTACTTAGTACATGGATAGACACGTAGTATCCTTACAGATGACCATCCAACTTGGCACACACATTAATAAAAAATGACCCATGCATCACATAGCAGGCTGTGACAACCTGGAGCTGAACTGGCTTCAGGATCTACAGAGAAACCTCCGGCTACAAAACCCCAGGGTGCCCTTTTGCTCGGTTGTATACAGTGTTGAAGCTGATGTAAAGCTACATTAGCCATTGTTACAAAGATTACATAATTTCAAACTAAAGATACTTTTTACATTTAGAAAATACCTCTATAAAATTAAGTAAAAGTGACATCCCAGTCTACTGAGTGCAATGCACTCTGGTTCCAGAAGGATCTCACAGACCCAGGGAACACCTGGGAATTCTTCCCTCAAAGGTGAATATGGGCACACTGTGGTGAAGTGGCTTCTGTTCTCAACATCCATCATCGTTGCCCATTGCCACAGGGCCCTGCTGGAGCACCAGACACTCTTCTCCTCCTCCAAACTGCTGAGGGATCCGTTCCACCAGCCAGGCTGGAAGTGCATAACCAAGCCAAACCCGTGGTTTTGCTACCTTCCCTCCACCCTCTTTCTAGCCAATGCTGATCTGGTTTCCTGTTGCAGAAAGTGAAGGGACTGATGCTGGCTAGAAACAGAAATTATACAACCATTCCACACAGATTTGTTACAATACTCTTAAATCTTGGTTTAGAACACACAAGCAGGTTTTAGTATGGTCTTGCCTAATGTACAGATTATTAGTCATGCCAACTAGTTTAGGATTAGACAGGAAAGGTTTGCAACCACTGCAGGTAAAGTCACTTCTGTTTCATCCTAGTTCTCTGAACAAAAGCCAAGGATTAAAATTCCAATGTGTTACAAAGCCTCCATTTCATTAGAGGGAGTCTTAAGCCAATGAGATAAACTACAGCTGTTAAATGCCACCGTGTTCTTTGTACCAGACTGTAATCCTTACTGGTGTCGAGAGCACCGAGACATCTGTAACCAATACACACACGCCGCAGAGAAAGCAGAAACTACACGGTACAAGAACACTCTTTAATCTGGGGGTTCTGTCACGCTAGGAACAGCAGCCTTACGGCATCAGTAATTTACTGAAGAAACACATCACCCTGAGAGGGTTTCTAAAGCTTTCCTCCACTGAGCGAGGCTGAATGCGACATCACCGACCATTCCTATGATGGGTACAGTGCCCACGGCAGTCGGACACGCCTTCTCCAGGGTAGTGTTGCTGTTACCTCACTTGACACAGAGCGAGTTTATTTGCTGAAAACTGATACCCTACGTCCACTTAGTGACGACTCGGGTCCTATCCACGCTACGAGCAGCGCGTTCTGACACCGCACACAGCGCGTTTGATGGGCCCGGTGTGAGGTGACACCGGAGACAACGTCGGGGCGATAACGGGGCTGGGCACGCGGCTGATCCAGTCCAGGCAGGGGAATCCGATGGCGAGGCCTTTCCCGGCTGAGGGCTGCTGTGGAGCCGGGCACCATCCCATCGCTGCTGTGCCCGGCACGGCGGGCGGCGGAGGCTCCGGGATGGAGAGCCCCGCGCCGGGCCGGGCCCCGGCAGCCCTCAGAGGCCGTGGCGCTTGCGGGTGCCGGCGCTGGCAGCGTGCAGCAGCCGGTCCTTCTCGCGGATCT